TTTACAAATAACCCTCATAACTTCTAATATAACATAAGCACTGTAATCATCAGGTAGGTTAAATGAGGATGGGGAGGATAGGGATTAAAACTGTTCAAGGGGATTTAAGTTGTCAGATAATTGGTGGCAGGTGTCTTTTCCTTGTGGCAGATGGCTTAGGTGTTGTCAGAGGTTTCACTGCAGAGCAAGAGAGCGCCTGTCTTGCTCTTTGCTTCCCAAAGCCAGCCTGAATGTGTGCTGGCATGGTTTTCTTCTGTTCTGGCAAGGACCTTTGGAGTGGTGCATAGGAAAGCAGATCAAACTGAGGACTGGCATTTTTGCTGATTTACGTGATACACTGACGAATATTGAGCTGCAAACAACTTTTTGGGTAATACCGAAGGTGTTTTTTTAGAGATGGAAAGTAAATTTCACCCTCATTGATGTATTTTCCTTACCTTTTTGGTGCTGTTAATGAGCAATCTTTTCATACCCTATGTGCTTGGATTCAGTATTGGCACCTTCCTCTTCAAAACTAGTGCCTTGTTTTAATTTTAACCGGGGGTAAAGTGTAATAAAGAGGTTGAGCAAGTTTGTCCCACAGTCTCTGGGTGACTGCATGAGTCCTGACTTTCTCCCATAAGCACAAATTGTCTCTGCCTTCTGTTTCAGTGCAGTGAGAATTAATCCAAGTCTTAATGCCACTGGTGTTACCTTGCTGACAACACACCTCTATTGCCACTGAAGTTTGTGCATGCACATGTTAAACTGAAGTTTATAAGCAGAACACTTTCTTCGTGCTCAGCTTTTGAATTCCTCCTCTGAGTGCATCACCTGCATTAGTAGATCTCTGTAAAGTAGACATGGAGTGAGTCACATGCTTCATGTCAACATAAAGAAGTGAGAAAAGAAACATCTGTCCTGAGGGGCTAAATTCACAGAAGCAACTGGACCTGAATGTAGGCGTTGGGAAGTAGTTTTGTGTTCTCTGAGGAATCAAATCTTGTAATAGCCTACCAGTCACTTGACAGTGCTTATTTGCAGTCTCTTAAGATGACAGAGGAAGATGAAAAAATGTTTGTTCAACTCTGCTAATATTGCTGGCTTTTCATTAGTTGTGGTGTGTTTTGCTGGTGATCAAATATTGGCAGGTATTGAAGGTATGTCTTTTGGATGCCATCTTGCTGCAAATTCCAGTTACTGACTTGCTGTAGTCTCTCTCCATTTGTTTTCATAACACGTTGCAGATTTTAATAGAGTTAAAACAGATTCCTGATGTGCTTAAATCAAACCTGGTGTGGATTTACACCTGGCAAGGGTTTAAGCAGAAATTAAAAATGAGTATGGAGTATAATGTGTGCATAGTGTGACAGGAAAGTATCATCAGTAACCCTTCAGCCTCACAGCTACATACCAGCCTGATCAAAATAGTTCTCTTCACATATGAAAAGCTTTAAGCAGCAATCCATTGAAAGTGTCCTGTGAAGATCCCATGATTCCCATAGAAGACATGCCATATGTTTGGCAGTGAAGAGTTCATGTTTCATCCTTGGTGATAGATCCTTTTTTGCCACGAGGCTGACATTACTAGCATCATTGATGAGGGCAATGAACACATAAGTGTCCTGTATTTCTTCTTTCTCAAAACCTCCTCGGCCACGCTGATTGCCTGCTCTTACTGATTATACTTCCTGATACAGAGCTGTGTGATCAGTAATGATCTGTTCTGTAATGTGCACAATTCTCTGGAGTGCTTTCAGGTAAAGGTGGTTTTTTGAAGGTTATCCTTGACTTGCTTTCTTAATACAGTGTGAAGTGCTTGCTCAGTATGACTTGTCCTTTCATTTCTTTTTCCCTGATTCTTTTTTTAGGGAATATTAAATATTTAGATACCAACATCTTTGGAAGTAGCTGCTAAAGCAGATTGATTTTCCTTACTCAGTCCCCTTCAGAATGAAACACGAGTCCATTTTTTTGTATTCAGCCCAGATGGTATGTTGCTTAAAGTGAGCAATGTGTTACAGTGAAAATGGACTACTTTTCCCCTTCTTTCCTTCCTCCTTTACTTGACTGAACACATCCGTGCAGCTCCTATTTGGGTTGAATTCAAAATGAATTAAAAGAGGCTGCAGGGTAAATATGTCAACTATTGGAATGCCAGCTCTGCCAGATTGAAGGAGCTTCTGCCCCTGCCAACAGGCCGTGCAGCAAGTTGGCTACACAAAACCTGACATCTTTCTGGACCTTGTTAGAAAAATGGACATGGTGATGTGGTTTGGTCCTTTCCATGTCTGTTACACTGCTCCTCCTTGTGCCTGCACAGTCCTGCACTGTGTGCTGAGCGGGCTGGAACATCACATTCCTGAGGACCACACTGAGCATTTCTTTGAGGGGTTTTTTTTTTTTTTGATCCATTAGGAGAGACTTACAAAGTGTGAGGGAAGCAGAAGGAGTAATACCATTTAAAACAGTTCCACATGTGCCATTGTTTTGACAGTTTTTTATCCACCAGTGGATTTTTTGGGCATGGAGTAATGCACGAAATGAGTTCTAGATGCATTGGCTGTGACTCTCAAATTGCTCTCTGTAACATGTAAGTCTCCTAGGAGCTGATGAAGGTTGTGTTTTAAGAGAAGTATTGGTTGCTTTGAAACTGGACTGAGTCAGAGTTCCCGTGTTGCCATTCTGCAGCAAAGCTTGGGTAGGGCTGTCTGCAAGTATCTTGATCTGCCACAGTCTTGTTTATTCGGTGAAAGAGTTAGTAATACATCCTTGCTTTAAAAGAATATTGAGGATAAGGTTGTTATATGACAAAGGAAATCCTGTAAACTGCTTACTGGGTAACAAAATTTGATACCTGTTCCTGGAATGTTGCTTCAGTCTAATAGGGTAGAAGTATGGCATTTATTTAAAGGAGTTTTTAAAAGGAACAGGGGACTTGATAATGCTTTTTTAGGGAAGTTGTTTTTTGTTCATGCTTTTTGCTTTTTGAAACTAAAAATTTCTAAAATTAGTTAGCTTGGTCTAAATCTTTTCCTTAAAGGAATGTTGAGATCATGGCTGAAACTTTTCAGCAAGATAACAGCAGTAGATCTGACAGGAGCTGACCTTTGATTATTCTGCACAGGAGGTGTTGCAGTGCTTGAGATGCATCCAGTTATGCTTTTTCTCAGGATCACCAGGATGCTCCGTGGGGCAAAGGCAGTTCTGTAGCTGGGGCAGGTGGCTGTGGGAGCTGCTGTTGGTTCTTAGCTAGCAACTTGTCCAAGTCAAGACTCACTTAAATATTCACAGAAGGACTTTGCATTTTAAATAGATGCTGCTTCCACGTGGAAGGGGAGCAGGTTGAATGAGAGATACGAGGTTGGATAAGAAGGTAGTGCAGAGCAATGGGGAGAGGTGCCATGAGATTGGCACCTTTTTGATGTTGCTGCCTAAATGTACTGCCTTACTTGTTTAGGTTCTGAGAGAGCAAAAGCCTTGATAATTTCTAGTTCTCTTGTCAAGCTTGAATAAGCTCTGGTTTATATCAGAGATTTATTCTTAGCCAGGACATTTCAGTTCTGTAATATCTGAGAACTTGTAAATTCTAATGACAGTTATGAAAATTACCGGGAAAGTCTCCCAGTAGTACCATCCTGACCTGAAACTACTTTTGGAGGGGACTGTGCAGCTTCTGCTGTGGAAGCTCTTATATACCTTATAACTAGCTTGAGTACATTGATTGAACTTCTACATTGTCAAGAATACCGAGGTATCTTTTATCTTTTCCTATCTTTATCTGACAATAGCATCCTGTAATTTTGTTTTACTCTGGTAGATTTTCTCCAGTAGCAGGCAGAGGTGGTGTTCATGCACTGGAGTGGTTTGCTAATAAAAGGTTGTATAAATGCTGTGAGCTTCACCCCGCACCTATTTGAGTGTGGTGGTTTTCATTTGGTCATTACTTAGCATTGATGTCAGTGATACAAAGACTGAGCTGAATGTGTTCAGTTACTGTTTTAAGGGAAAAAAAACGCCATAACACCAAAATCCTCACTGGTTGAGCACAGAAGTGCAGACCTCAGTTACCAGTGATGCTGTAAGGCTGACTGGCAGCACGGTGTCTGTTCAGTGTTTCACGGCAGGAGTAGCCAAGGACGAACTGTTGCCCTTGCTGATTTAAAGTCAGGGACTCGGGCATAAGCAAAGTTGGGTGGAGCGTTTCCCCAGGAGCTGCTGGAGCAGTGAGGGCCCTGCCTGACTGAGCTGGAGCTGAGCCTGTTCCAGTGTGCTGTAGGCTGTAACAGTGTAGAGAGCAAACCTGCTATTTCTCCGTAGGAAGAACAGTGTTCCAGGGCATGAAGCTGAAGTTTGAATGACACTGCTAAAAGATGTCTAATTGCCAGGTGTATGCCTGGGCATGCTTTTTGGTGGCTGTCACTCTCTTTCTTTAAGGTGCTACATGCAGCAGGAGAATTACAGATGGCTCTGGAGACCTTATTTCCACCTTTTTTTTCTGAACTGCATTGTCTTTTAACAGCTCAGGGCAAAATTCTATTAAAGCATCTGTTCTGTGCTGGCAGATACATCCCCAGGAAAGTCAGCCATTTGCAAGAAATAACATTTGAAAGGAAATACATTGTTTGAGAGAGACATAGGCTTATAGAGAGTACCTCCCTGAAGCATTTTTCTCGTGTCTTTTGAAATAGTGATGTGAAATTTAGCAGTTTTGCCTGTGTCATGGATGGAGCATTTTTATACCCTGTGGGAGAGGAAGGGAACAATCTACATTTGGCTGATTCAGAAGTTTCTGAAAAGCCTCTTGCACTAATCATGCTATAAAATTTACTATTTTGGAAGATGTGTTCTCCAAATATGTCTGTACAAAGCAGCTTCCTTCCTGGGACTTCAGGACTGAGCTAGGAGAAAGGTCTTACCTGAAACTTCTAATGCTGGCAGTTGTGATCTGCTGTGTGCCCTGTGCAGCACTGAACAAAGGGGCACTTGCCATGTTGTGTTCATAATGGTTTTCCTTGCCCTTGGTGTTCAAACCTTCCTGGGAGGGGAAGGAGTTGGACTCCAAGAGCAACAGGAAGCAAGATGGTGTAGGGGTGGGCAGTGGAGGGAACCAATACAGCTCTGCCTTTCACCCAGAGTTCCAAAAACTATGTACTTATCCTCAAAATAGATAAATGATAGGTAAATGGTTAAGCTTTGTGTCAGCTTAGTTTGTTCTTCCTGGTTCTAAACCATGAAGGTATGCAGGTTGGCAAGGGGACTCTTCTTTCTTCTTTCCTTACCTGGAAAGGTTTGTATTTCTGGGGCTTTTTTGCCTACTCAAGTGCATGTTGCCTGGGACTAGTCTAGACTATGACAGAAAGACAAAGGGAAGAATGTTATTTTTCTCACTGTCTGCCTTGTCTTGCAGCTTCCCCCCAGATCTGTGACAGGTCATGCCATTTTGATGCCTATTAAAGCCATTGAGTGTCATTATCCTTCCTTCACTGAAGTTCGAGTTTCTGTGATATCTGCATTCCAAAAGACAGTGCACCAAGTGAGAAAAATGGGAGATTAAAATGTCTGACTAGTGCTGTGTCTGACATTGAAGGCTAAGCTCTAGGTTTCTTTCTCTCACTGTTTTCTTGATCTTCAGTGTCCTGCTACTGTGCCCCCTCCACCTGGCAGACTTGGTGTGCCAGCTGCCATACTGTTCTGTGGACAGATGTGTTCCAAAGGACTGTATTGACACCAAGAAGCTCAATTCTAACTTTTATCAGCAGCACAATGTTTAAAACTTAATTGAAAACTTAGTATGAATTAGTCAGTATGTTACGTTGTGCATAGCCCTCAGCTCACAACAACAACAAAGTATTCTGCAGGCTAAGTACTAATCTGACAAAAGCATGGGAGGATAAAGCTGAATTCATGTAGCCTCATCCGTTTTACTTCTGTATAGACTGACTCTGTGAAGAAGAGAGATTTTTTTTTCAACATCACTTTGACCTGAGTGTACATAAAGGCTGCATGTGTGTTCTAGAAAGAAAATAGCAAGAGGAAATCTGCAAAATAGCGTGTGAGAATGGAGAACAGATACAACGAGAATTTAAGAAAAAGAAAGTGCTACCAAGTACCATGCTCATAATACTGATAGGATAATGACAAAATAATCAGGGTCAGGGTCCATTTGTTTCATCTTCATTCAACCACTGATAAACAGCTTGCTCAATGACAGCTTTTGCTGCCTTTGTTAATACTCAATGAACTTACCTCTCTTTCATTTGCCGCAGACAGCCAACTGTTGCCTGGGAATAACTTCACGAATGAATGCAACATTCCTGGAAACTTCATGTGCAGTAATGGACGCTGTATCCCAGGGGCCTGGCAGTGTGATGGGCTGCCAGACTGCTTCGATGACAGTGATGAGAAGGAATGCCGTAAGTGACCATTGCTGTGACCTTATCGTGCTTTTTATCACAGCTAGTGTTACTGCTGTGTGCTGTGTTAGAGAAGGAACAAAGCTGCTGCCACTTTGCTCATTTAGATCTCGTTGGAAAAAAAACCACTTAGGCTTTATTATTTCAGGTCTTTAATGTTCTTCAATGTCCAGTTTTAATACAGTACTTGGGGAGGTACCTGAACAGATGGATAAATTGAGATGGACTTCACTTACAATTCTTCCATGATGTTCTGTGATTTTTTAGGGATCCTGCCTGTACTGCTTCAGCACAATGATGCAGTGCTGTAAGTTGACCTTCATTACCATCAAACCTAGTTCCTTCCATTTCAAAATTGTTGACTGTATCCTTTGATTTCTGTTCTCTCCAATCAAAATGCAATTCTTAACTCCATGAACTTTAACTTTCTAAAAAATAGTTACAATTAATTTGCTAATTGGTGTTTTTAAGTTTTAATCTTTCCTAAAATACTTCTAGGTCTAGAGAGCTAAAAAGTCTGATCTGCTTCTCATCTGTGATTTCATCTTTTCCTTAGCATTATGTAAGATTTAGTTAATGTTACTCAGCCATAACACGAAATTTTCTAGCCTACATGTGTTAACCAGACAGCAAAATTATGCTGTAGCATAATGCTGTGATTTGAAATCCAGTTGAGAGTGAAAAAAATCAAATTTCATGTCCTGCTAAAGCAACTGAGAAATTTCTGAGATGTTACTAGTTTTCATGTAGCAAATGTGATTTCTCTATGTGTGTACTTTACAGAGGTTTTCATTACACTTAAACTGAATTTATAAGAAGCTTAACTTTCCCAGGACATTTCCAAGATAGCATTAGCTTTGTTGATTGAGCAGAAGGAAAAAAGAATAGCTTCTTTCAAATTACCTGACTAGAAATACGTGTTGTTAAATGCTCTTGCTTTTTTAAACTTGATAGCTCTTCTTTAACCCCAGTAATCCATCCCTTTTAAATAATGAGGCTTTAATAACTGTGCCATGTAAATCTCCATATATAGTTTCGCTTTAAGCTAGTGAGCTCTGCTTGCTTTCTAAAGAATTAAAACTATCTGTGTATGAAGTAACTAATGTCTTCATAAGGCATCAGGCTTGTGTTGCAATATTGAAGACAGGTTAATTAAATTTTTTTCCACACTTAAATGTTAACATTAAAGGATAGGCCTGTTACAAGGATTGATCGGTGTCATGCATATCTGTTTAAACCCTAGCAGAAATTATATCAGTGGGAGCTTTGGCAAGAATAAGAATGTCTAAAGTTCAGCCTGTACCTTTCAGTGAGGTGTTCCTGATGACAACAGCTATGCAGCTCAGGTTCCTCATTACTTGGCTCCTGAATAAACTGCTGGCATGACTTTCACTGTGCTACTTCTTTTTAAAACATGCTGAATGACAGTACTTCCTTGCATTTATAGGATACACACCAGGAGTGTCCGTGTCTCTTAAGACTGTAGCTGTTGTCTGCCTTGCATAAATTTTGTTTCATTTGATATAATTAGATGATGTTATGAAGATTTTCTTAATGAAGGCTGGACTGGACTGGGTATTTACTCAGGAATCAGTAAAAAGAAAATATGCTTTGTGACTCTCTGTTCAAAAATTTCCTTATCAAAATCAGTTGGGTTTGATGAATTACAGACAGTAGTAAACTGACAATAAAATATAAATAGCTGTAAAATGGCAGTTCATAAAAGCTGTTCTTGTCACCACAGACTCAAATAAACCTCAGTGATGTAGGCTGTGCTGCAACTATGAATTTTAAGTTGCTTCAGAGCTGTCCTTCCTGGGGTTTTTTTTTTTCAAATACTTTTATCCAGCTTGATTGGCTGACAGTTTCCTGGATGAGCATCCTTTTGATCCTACACAAACTGATGGAGATAATTAGACTGTTCTTTCCTCTTGCTATACATCTATCTGCTATTGGATCGCCCTCACAAATGTAAAATTAGCATACAAAAAAGACTTGCAGGGAGAGCAATCAATGTGAATCCTAAGCTGGCCTGCTGTTAACAGGTCAGATAAGCCAAAACAGAATGGAGATAGTGCTCATTTGAATCTCCACTGTAGTGTTTCCAACCAGTCTTGTACATTATAAGTAATCAGAAATTGGATGGGCTTATACAGACCAAATCTGGTGTTAGATTTGTTCCTAGCTCAGAGCTAAGGCATTGACAAACAGCCTTATATGTATAAATTTTTATTTTTAAATCATTTTAGTCTACACTTTGTTACTTGCCTTCCATCAGAACAGGGCTCTACTTCCTAAAACTTACCTTGCAGCGAAGTTAGTTAGTTCTTTTTTTTCTGCTGTGATTTTACTTTGCAGTAGCTGAGCTGTTGGTGGTGAGCACAAAGCTATAGGAGTTGCATTAGCAGCATGAGATGGCTGAGTTCCCAGTGTGTTACTACTCACAGGTGTACTTTAAGCTGCTTTGTCTGTGATTCCTCATCAAGTAACTATTTCATATTAAAATGTATATTTGTGAATAGGAGCTTGGTTACAGGGTTCATTTGTTGTGAAGATGAGTATGCTGTGTTGTGGCATGAGCATGAGGAAGTAGTCATGCACTCGTGTGTGGTTATGTGGAAAGTCTTTCTCTTCTGATTCGTCTTACAGTTGAATGTGGATGTCCAACAATAATTTATCAATTCTGTTTCTGTAGCATCTCATCCTGACTGTCCCCCTTTAAACAGGAAAACTTGGAATTCCAGGTCTGGTTCTCATTTTTTGTGGCCAGCAAGTGGAAGAGTGATGGTCTGAGTGTGAGGAGGAAATAAGATGCAAAGCAGAATTATCTGCACATTGTCCATTCATGTATTTTCTCTTCCTTTTGTCCCTTTTCTGTCTCCTCTTCTGCAGGACCATCTCTGTTAACCATGTCACTTTGCTTATGGCCTTTCCTTCATCTCCCACACTTGCCAGAACCCACATATCCACATACCATCTGTCATCTTCAGTGGTTCCTCTGTGCCCTTACCTGTCACCTTAACACGTCCCATGCCAGCTGTCTTTGTGCTGTTTAGTGCACAGAACATTTCCCATACTCTTGCCTTCTCTAATGGTGATGTAATGACTGAAAAATGTTACCTGTTTTTATCTGGGGAGGAGGGTTGAGCAAAGGCATGGAAGTGAGGGAATAAGCTGAGACAGTGACTTCTCCTTGTACATAAGAACGGCTTCTTGAAGAACAACCTCGCTTTGTTTTTTCCTCCAAGCAACTAATTGAGCTTGAAAAAGATTAATTTACCATATCAATGTGAATGTTTTGTGAGTACTTCCAGTTCTCTATAGTTTGAGTAAACTGCTATCAGTGTATCTCCCAGTGGATAACTGTTTTGTAGTTCATCTCCCTTTCTTCTGCTTCTATTCGGTTGGATTGCTCCTCAGCCCATGTAATCCAGTATCTGTCATGCACATTTCTTTGAAGTGCTGATATTACTACTGCTTTTCACTTGTGTAGATGATTTATAAAGGAAGTTGAGGCTCTTCTTAACAAATGCAGAATCTTTACCAGCAGGATTTTCCTGTGAAATTTGGAGGGATTGATTGCACAGATCCATAATCCTCCTCTAGGTGCATACCAGGCATTATAGATACCTGGGGTTAGTGCTTGCCCTGGTCAGGTGGGGAGCTGCATGCTGTCAGCACTCAGTTCTTTCTGTTATCAGATATGGAAGATACAAAATTTTCCAAAACAGCCTGAATGGTAAGAGCCTAGAAATGTGTGCTTGCAGCTTTTGAAACATTTTGAGGTAAATGGATTATCTCTAGTCCTGACTTTTATACCTACTTGCTGGCCTATTCCTTTGGAGCCAAGACCTATGTCTTGCTCTTGGAAGGATTCTCATCTTGAGATTTAAGAGTGCACTAATAGTCTTAGTTAAGCTCATAATTTACTCTGTCATCTCTGTTTCCTCTTTCCTTTGCTCTTGGTACATCTTTGTATTAGATTATTACAGAGAGAACATTGTGAACACAGAATGGCTTTTGTCACTAATGAGCAGAAGCTAGTGGGGAGATGGCATGTGCTGCCTTTGTCAGCTAACGAGCAGCAGATGGTGAGGATTCAGAGCATGGCACATCATCCACGCTAAGTGCCTGGCATGACAGCAGCCAGAATTAGAGACATACCAAATACCCAGGAGTCTAGATTTTCCTTTGTCGCTCTTCTGAGAGATGCCAAATTTGTATGTTCAGCTATGAGCAAATAGTGGCACAGTGACTATCTTTGTCAATCCAAGGCCTAAAGAGTGCAAGCTGTGGGCTAGAAAGAAACTGCGTGCAAGGATAGCCTTGAGGCAGAGTGTTCTCACGTTCAGAACCTCTGTCTCCTCGTTTCTTGTTGGCACTGTTGCTCATTCAACACGAAGGCAAAGCAGGTTTCTGAGTCAATGCTAAAAGCTGTGACTGGGTTGTATAGATGTCTGAACAATGGGGCATCATCCATGCTTGTAAGGATGTGCTGCCAGCACACTCCTGGGCTGGCTAGCAAGAGCTGGTCTGTAGGAACATCCGGAACTGTGGTAATAAAAAGCTCATTTCATCACCAGCAATCCATCGTCATCAAACCTTGCTGTGATCGTCCTTCAGACAGAGCAAGTCTCCTCCATGGGGGAGAATGTCTTTATTAAATGTAGTGCTGCATCAAAATTGCTCCATTATAATTAGGATTCCCCAGACAGGTGTTGAAGCCACCTGCCAAGCAGGCTTGCACTAAAGGTCAGTTTTGTCTCTTTGCCTAGACACGTGTGCTTGCAGGGAACCCAGTGCAATCAGAACTGAAGGTTTTGTAATACCTGCAGTCCTGGGTTGCACTCAGCATGATGTGGTGAGCCAAGCTTTTCTGCAGTTTCACAGCAGCAGGCTAGTTCTCGTGGTCCTGAACGCTGTGGCTTGCATTTGGGCAATATGAGAAATCAATTTAATCCAGGAGTCCAGTAGATCCAGTAAGAGCATTTCTAGTCCTG